TAATTGCCATAAATAAAAGAAATATAATAATTAAATTTAATATAATTGCAATATATTTCAATATTAAAAAAAATAATTTAAAATCATCAATAAATGGCAATGTGAATTAGATAAGGATGTTAAAAATTGGGCTAACTATGAATAAAGAATTAATTGAACAGTTGAGTTTATCTCTTGGTCAAAAATCTAAATTTGATGGTCTGTTAATAAATATAATTATATTTTATTTGAGTATCATATAATAAACTAAATAATTGGGAGTTGATTTGCGTATAAAAGTCCAAATGGTAGCCTCGCCCGGAAGAAAAAATATTACATCAGGACTCCGCACGTAGATTTACGTGCGGAGTCGAATGAAATCACGCCACGTAGAAACAAAATTTATGCCCAATAACACAAGAGAATATTCATCCCGTGTTATTCAGATATTATTGGGTGTTATTCAGTTGTTATTGTGTGTTATTCAAGTATTATTGACGTGTTATTGTGTTATTATAATACCGAGAATATTCCCAGAACACAATAACACTTGAATAACATACAATAACACCTGAATAACACAGAATAACACGAGGGGATTATTCTCTTGTGTTATCGGGTCGATCACCTCCACGACGTAATTTCATTGGACTCTGCACGTAACTCTATGTGCGGAGTCCTGATGTAATATTTTTTTTCCACCCGAAAGCATGTAGACAAAGAAGACACACGTTACAACTTCAAGAAGTAATTAATTTTTTCTCTCTAGCCCCAATAAGAATAATAATAACCGAAAGCATGTAGACAAAGAAGACACACATTACAACTTCAAGAAGTAATTATTTTTTCTCTCTAGCCCCAATAAGAATAATAATAATAATAATAATAATTAGTATTATTAGTATTATTGTAATTAATAGTATGATTTATTTATTAATTAATTAAGAAAGTAGAAATTATACAATTGGCACTAGCTAAGAGTGGAATATCATAAGAATTGTCCAAAATATATTATCATGCTGCTCTCTCAAGTTAATTGCTGACACGCATACCACTAAAATAATTAATATCACATATAAATAATAATAATATTATTTTTAAAAATTAAATATGCATTTTTATGGACAGATTTACAACTCCAAATGCTATACATGAGATATAATATAAATCATAATGACAAATATAATCTCCCCTAAGATTTTCCCTCCTAACTAGCCTTTCCAGCCCTTTAAGAAGAAATCATGTTCAAACTTGGCTTCAGTTCGTTTCAAGCTTTTGAAACGTTGCTCGAGTTCATTTTATTTGAATTTATTATTATTCAAGGTAGATTAATGAGATTATTACACATATAATTGAAAAAAATTGTCGGAGGTCGACGACAATAGGCGGTGGTCGATGAAAGTCAGCGGTGGTCGACAACGATTTGTAGAGGTCAACGGTGGTCGACGATAATCAGAGGTGGTCATCGGTGATCCGCGGTAGTTAATGGCGATAGGCGGTGGTCACTGAAAGTTGGTGGTGGTCGACGATGGTTGGCGAAGGTCAACGAGGGTCGACGACAATCAGCAGTGGTCAACGATGGTCTGCGGTGGCGTTGAACTGCAGCTCCTCTAGAAGGCCTCAGGCTCTCTCTCTATGGGCTTAAGCTCCTCCTCTTGAGAGGGGTGTGACTCTATTTATAGTGTTCTGCATGCAATTAATGTAGGAATATGAACAATTTTGATCGGACGGACTGAAATGCTTCCTCAATCAAACAAAGTTTAATGGACATTTGGAAGCCTTAATGAAGTTGGAATTGAGTGATCTTGTTCTTGTTGAATTCGTCTTGTTAAGACGCTCGATTCAACCATGAACTTGTCAAATTCAACATCTGTTTGACCTTCCAAATGTGTCCGGAAATCTTCAAAGAGTGGTTTAATGACTTGATCTGAGCTTGATTTGACTCATATTGGACTGACTTTGATATCATTAGCTCTTTCTCATTAAGCTGGTCAGTTTGACTATAAGTTTGCTGAAATCGGAGCTATGGACGACTTTTTATCAAGATTTAAATGTTTCTTGCTCAAAATATCATTTCGAGATTCGTGTCATGCCTCGATATTCGTGCAAGATGATGAAAATTTATTGGTGGTGTATCATGTTTAAATGCTCTGTACCTCCTTCGAGTACCATATGATATCTACAAATTTCAAAACTGTAAGCATCATTTGAATATTTAAAGAACATTAACAATGTATTTTTTTCCCGATGAAGTATTAAATGCATGAAAACTGGTGTTAAGTTTGTGTGGAGCCGAAGCACATTAGTAGGGTTGTCGGCGCCTATGCGTCGGCTTATGGGCGCTTAGGTACCCACAGATGGGCGATTCATACAGGAACCAGCGCATATAGGCGCATATGCGCCCACTTATAACTGGGTGTTGCTTTGATACAGTAAGGTTGGCGCTTATGAGCCAATCTTTGACCGCCTAAGCACCCACCCTATATGCTCAATGTAGAGAGCATTGCACTTAGATTCAAAGCTGGGCGCCTAAACGTCATGAATAGTTTGTCCAGTTTTCAATGGTGTAAATATTATTTCTTTTGGTTTTCTTCGACAAGCATCCTGCGGAAGGTGAAAAGAATTGAAAATGTAAATTTTGGTAATTCGGCTTGATTCTTGGATCGAAATGGAAAAAGAAGATTGTGGAGTGTGTCCTGTAAGTGTCATTGTGTGATACTTATTGAAGTAAGTCATGTTCCAAGTTTGAAGAGAAATCTTATCTCGGTGAGCCAACGAGCAAAGTCGGGACTTGTGAGAACTTTCACAAGTGATTTGTGAAAAGTGACCAGGGGGCAATAAGGATGGCAAGGGGCAACATTAAAGACTCCCTTTATCTGATCAATGAAATGGCTGATTTCATTGATGAGGCTGGAACAAGGGTGGAAGTCAAGGGGCAACATTAAAGACTCTCTTTATCTGATCAATGAAATGACTGATTTCATTGATGAGGCTGGAACAAGGGTGGAAGCAGGTCTATGGCACCGTAGGCTTGGTCATATGAGCGAGAAAGGTATGAAGTCCTTACTTTCAAAAAATAAGCTTCAAGGTTTGAATTCAGTTGTTCTGGATTCTGGGAAGATTGTATTCATAGCAAGCAGAAGAAAGATTCTTTTTCTAAGAGCGAGATAGTGGTGAAATCAAAGAAACTAAAGTTAGTGCATACTATTGTATGTGGTCTTATTCTAGTTCAGTTCATTGAAGGCTCTTGCTATTTTGTCACATTTATTAATAATCACATGAAAAATGTATGGATTTATTTTTTAAAGCAAAAATCAAATGTATTTGAAGTCTTTAAGAAGTGGAAGACCATGATAGAAAATAAGACAAGATTGAAGCTGAAGAGCCTCAAATCAGATAAAGGCGGCAAGTAACGTGATCAAAGCCCGCTTTAACCGGTCAAATCCCGAATAAGCCTAAGCCACACTAAGGTCGGCCCACCCAATGCTCGGGTCTAACTTTGACCTATGTAACCAACATTAACCTTCATGCTCACAGCTCTGCAACTTCCTACTATGTTCTTTGTGTTGGGGCGGGATCTAGATATATACAAGTTGTGGTGGTATATAAAATAAAGTAGAAGAACGGTCTTTGAAGCGAAAAATAGAATGAGAAAAATCACAGCAGAAAAGAGTAGCACAACAGAACACACATATTTACGTGGTTCGGCAAATTACCTACGTCCACGGAGTTGTAGAAGATTTTAATACTTGAGAAATTTACATCAGTCGATCACCTCAACTTACAATAGGAATCTCTCACTCTCAATTCATTGCTCTCTCTTCTTCTCTCTCTGTTCTTCTCTCTCTACACCAAGATACACCGATTAAACTCTACATCGAGATACACCGAAGAAGACAAACTTATAAGAGAAATACTCTGCCACAGCCAACAAGAATAAACATAAGGAGAACAATCTTCTTATTCTTCCTTCTTCTTTCTTCTGCCGCAAGAAACTACTGCTTGCACTTCTCTTCCTCTGCCCTGAGGAAACCTTCCTCTATCCCGAGGAAACCGAAGAAGAACTCAAACTGTGACTTCTAAACTTCAAGGAAAGTCGTTCGAAGTCTTTTTATCGCGAGAATGAAGCCGAAGACGTCACGACTATTCGCGATCAGACGAAGCTTCACGCGTGCGGAAACAGTTCCGCGATCGAGCGGGAGTGTGAGGAGTCGCGACCTTTCGTGACAAAGGGAGCGGGCCAAAGCGAAGCTTCACTTCTGGACAGAGCGGTACACCTGGCGAAAGCGGTAGTCTGAAGCGAGAGAAGAAGGCGTGGATCGGGCTCCAACTTAACACTTTGCGGCCCGCTGACGCTCCTGAAGCCACGATCGACAACTCACACGTCAAACTACTACCATGACTTTCAATTATGGTCTACACGGCAAGTTGACGTTGCAACCACCGTCTATAAAATTTACAACTGACTACTTCCTCCATAGCAATCGACTAGGGTCCTTGCAGCCTTCTATCACCGAAAATCTACATTTATTATGACCAAGTTATGATTATTATCAATGAATTATTATTGTACATTTACAATGATCAACTTTGTAATCTCATCTTTCCCAATTCAGAAGAAGAGTAAACTTTTGTACTTCTCATTTATGGTGACCCATTTTAACTAGTCTAGACCCTATGATTTTTTTCTTTTTTTAACATTTTTCAGGTAAAAAATTAGGGTGACTCATTCTTCTGTTTCTCATTTTCTAAGGTTATACTAAACATTTGTAGAATATTAAAATAATAAATTATCACCACCATGGGTGCCTTCATGAGCCCATTTGCCTCTTTCAAATCATAACCACACAAAAAAAATTATTTTCTTTCAGGACTACAGGTGGCACATCAACGCTGAAAAACAGATCAATTAACATAAATTACTCCTAACGCGCAATACTCTACTAATTTACCACTTGGAATAAATATAACAAACTCAAATTTTAGTGCATTCATCCCTAAACTAGTATTAAAATGATCCAGCAAGATTTTTCAGTGCTATAAAAATGGGAACAGACCCCATCTTCAGGCTACCAATTTCTCTGACAGCGTTCAGAAATCCACCATGCTTCCTCTGTTATTCACATCATGTCTTCTTCTACTTCCTTTTCTTCTCCACCTCTTCAGATTTCCCACTGGTCTGAGCAGAAGAAGAAGAAGAAGCTATAAACTCCCACCCGGCCCCAACCCCAAACCCCTCCCCATACTCGGCAACCTTCTCAATCTCAGCCGTCTCCCCCACATCTCCCTCCTCCATCTCTCAAAACAGTACGGCCCTCTCATGTACCTAAAGCTGGGCCAGATGCCCACCATCATCGCCTCCTCCAAAGAAACCGCCTTTGAGATTCTCAAAGCCCAAGATCTCACCTTTTGCACCCGCCCTGAATCCATCGTCTTCTCCAAGTTCTCCTACGGCGGCCTCGGCATGGCCTTTTCAGATTTCAACGACCACTGGAAGAAGCTTCGGATGCTATTCAAAGACGAGGTCTTCAGCACTAAAAAAATCCAATTTTTTCGCAGAATCAGGGTGGAGGAAGTGGGGACATTTATGGACACCATAAGACGAATTTCTCAAAGTGGAAAGCCCATAAATTTCTCCGACATGGCGCTCTGCCTCTACAACAACATCATATACAGAGAAGCGTTTGGGAAGAGGTTATCTGCTGAGGGAGAGTGCGGGGCGAGTCCTCACCATGATTTGATCATGATGGTCGTAACTTTCATGGGCGGGTTTACTGTATCGGACTTCTTTCCTTCGTTCTGGTGGGCTGATTTTCTCACTGGGAGCAGGGCGAAGCTTGAGAGATGTTTCAGGGTGATGGATGGGATGGTGGAGAAGGAAATTGAAGAGAGGTTGTTTACCATTGAAAGGGGTGGTAGGAGCCCATATCCAGACATTCTCGATTCCCTTCTTCTCTGTCAAGTTCAGAAGAATCCATTGCTAGGATTCCTGCTTTCCAGAAACGACGTCAAGGCTCTTCTTCTGGTACACAACTAATTCTCGTAAAATTCATAAAAATACATAATGATCAAAATCTATAAATTCATAATTTTTAAGTACCCTTAAATGACATATACATAATTATATTCATGATCGTAAAATTCAATCTTAAGAGATGAAATTTCTCTCTATAATTATTATAACTTTATATAATTTCTGATGGATAGAAATATATATTTCTTTTTTGAGAGAGGACAGACTTAACTCTTATTTATAAGAGAAAAGATAAGTTTATTGGGAAGAAACACAACATTTCTATTAATTATTCATTATTATCCATCTTCCATTATGATGATTATTGACCAATAAGATTTAAGAAGATTTAATTTATTAATTAAAGCGAAAAGATAAGATGTCTATTGAGAAGAGACATGACTTTCTATTTAAGATAATTTAATTTATTAATTAAGACAAAATGGTGTCGTGTTTATTGAGAAGAAACATGTCTATTTTCTTTTAATTAATTAACTAAAATGAATGACAATATTTCACGTAAATTTATAAATAAATGTTTGTATAATCTCAGGATATGTTCGTCGGAGGAACCATGACCGCAACACTAACAGTGGTTTGGGGAATGGCTGAGCTCATGAGGAACAGAGAGGCCATGAAGAAGGCGCAGGATGAGGTCCGACGAGTCGTTGGAAACAAAGGAAAAGTAGAAGAAGATGACTTGAAGCAACTCCACTATCTCAAACTGGTGCTGAAAGAGACGTTAAGATTGCATCCTGCTGCTGCTCTGCTGGCTCGTGAATGCATGAAGGATACGAAAATCAACGGTTATGATATTCCGGCGAAGACCAGAGTCATGGTTAACGTTTCGTGTATAAGTAAAGATCCGGAGTGGTGGCCGGCGGATCCGGAGATCTTCAGGCCGGAGAGGTTTGAGAACAGTTCCGTTGACTACAAAGGGAATTGCTTGGAATACACGCCATTTGGCGCAGGACGAAGAATTTGTCCTGGATTTGCGCTTGGCATGGCCTGCGTGGAGCTTGGATTAGCTAATGTTCTTTATGGCTTCGACTGGAATCTACCCGAGGGGATGGAAGCGGGAGATATTGACATGACGGAGCATTTCGGGATCGGTGTTACGAAGAAGACGCCGCTTATGTTAATGGCGAAGCCGGTGAATTTTGAAGGTTGGATTTGATTATCTATCTCACAATCTCCGGTGGAGATTGGTTCAAGTCGATTGGCTGATGTTATATATTTTAAGATTATTTTCTTGTATGCTTATAATTGTAAAGGTTTAATAAAATTGATTAGCTTGATTTGATGCATTATCGTCATGAGGTGGATGTAAATCTGACTTTGAATTTTATGTAAAAAAATATCTACTATTAATTAACCAATTTCAGGTACTCTTTTAGTTTAACATGACTTAGGGTGTGTTTGGGGCAGCTTATTTGGTGCGCTAGCATTTTGAGAACGCACATGATTTGTCTGGCTAATAGCTTATGCGTTTTCAAAACGCTAAAAACAGCGTTTTTCACACCGCACATATCTAGATGTGATGATAACTTTCTGACTGCGGTATGACTTTTTCAAAAATAAAAATAAAAATTTGTAATAGTCACCGTACATAACTTATCAACATATTATTTTTAATCAGCTTATCAGCAGATTATTCAATAAGCTACATCCCCAAACAGACTCTTAAATTTAAATGAAATTTAGCATGTATGGACAACGGATGTGATACATCATATGCGCTTCTTTTAATCTCTTCTCGTTTCATCGATGTATCGTGTTCGTTGTCTGAACATAACTTAACATCTGAGCTGAGGATGAAATACTTTTCGTATCATTTAAGCGATCAATTGCCCTCCTCAAAATTTGAGAATTTATTAGTATAAGATACAATTTAGAGCATATTAAGATTAAAGCCGAACCTAGCTTATTAAGGCTCTAATTAAGTATATATAAATATAAAACTAACTAATCTAATATTTTAATTTCTTTTTAAACAGATTTTATTATTTATTTTAACTGCATAACTGATATAAAAAGTCAACTGCATGCACAGTCATGCATTTTGCTTACAGACAAAGTCAGACATTTCCTTATTTAAACTATTGCAAAATTTACATAAAAACCACTCAGTTCTTATGAATTTACAAATATAACACCTAAAATTCAAATTTTACATACATAACACCTTATTTATGCATTAAAAAATGCATTTTAATTTTTGAAAATTAAAATAGTGGTATAAAAAAATTAAAATAATAATATTTTTGATATGATATGAAAAATTTGCGTGGTATAAATATAAAAAGGAAATTTTATATGTTAGATGTGTATATACATATGAATTGGGTGGTATGTATGTAAATGCCCCTATATTTAAGAAAGAAAATTTAATTTATTTTTTGTATAATCCTAATATATTTTTGTATTAAAAAGTTTATAACTTTTTTTTTTATTTGAGCTAACCAAAATAGAAAATAAAAATATGAGAGAAAACTATCGTTTAATTTAATTTTGTATTTTCAAAATAGAAAAATAATCCTAATATATTTTTGTATTAAAATATTATTTAATTTATCAATCATAATAAAACTCACATTTTAATTTTGAATGTTGTGCTATTTTTCAATTAATTTATTTTTTATAATAAGTTTGTCCACCTGAAAAAAGAGTCTGATTCCGCCCCTCTTTATAGATTTGAAACCGACTATCAATTTATAAAAATTGGAAAGCATGTTGGAGATATGGAGTACATGTGGAATGTTATATAATTATTATTATTGTTATTATTATTATTTCATAACAAACGACTCAAAAGACTTGACGAAAAAGAACAATGAGACCCTGAACCCATGGAGGAAGATGCTACTGAATTTGAATTTTCAATTCTAGGATATACACCTGGAGAAGTATACTCTTAGGGGTAGAAAACCTCGATCCTGAAGAAGAAGTAGTAGAAAGGATGACCTTCGCACCAAGTCCATATGCATTAGCTCTTGACCTCACAGTGTCAGAGGAACCAACTGAAAGACAAATCATTTCTGAAGAGGAGCCGAGACACATCTAGACAATTAGACAACATTATTTTGAACATTTTAAGAATATCGATAGCTGAAGGGTCAATATACACTAAGGCATATAGTTAGTCACCATAGTATTTGATAAAGATGAACAAGTTATCATGTGATGGAGGCGCGTGACAAGGGATAAGCTGGACAATTAGAAAAAAAGGACATATTTAGAGCCTAGCCGTTGGAAAGGCGGAAAAAGGTGAATTACAACACAATATGGATGTTGTTATAATTATGTTGAAGACAGAGAGGAGAATCCCCCAGGAATTTTACAACATAAACAGGTGGATTTGATGTCTGCCCTAATCATTGAAATTATTGAACGATTGGTAGCATGGAACATAATGTCGTCCAGTTGTGTTCCTGACTGTAGTATCATTAATATTTATAAAGAGAGAGATTGCATCACACCACACATTGATCATCATGATTTTGAAAGGCCCTTTTGCATGATATCACTACTACACGTGTGCTATAATGTTTGGAAAAGAAATCCACATCATAGGGCCAATAGAATTTTGCAGTTCTTATCACATTCCCCTCCCATGATGATCAATATTAATCTTGTAGGGATGGCAAAACATTGCATATCGGGTGTAAGCAGACAACATATCTCAATAACATTACGAAGAATGCATCCTGAAAAGCGCCTTGTTGGTTATCAATCTATACCAGAACTTGAGGGACTACGACCGAGCACCTGGGCTATAGTATCTCAGAGTGCAAGATATCCCATGGTAGGTCTTGTACTGCCCAAGGTTGCTAATATGACGAAGGATGATATGACAGCTTTTGTTATGACGTTTTGATGACAGCTTTTGTCATGACATTTTGCTTATGACATATGATGTACTATTAACATCTCTTGTGTCAGCTTTTGTCACTTTATATTATCTTTTGTAATGAGATTGAACTCTAGTTTTATTACAAAAAGCAAAACTCCCAAGCTATTGTCAATGTCAGTACAACTCTATAGATGCCAAGATAAACACCTACAACTAAAAATAAATAAATAAATAAATAAAATGACATAAATTAAAGACAAATAATTTATTTTTAAATGACATAAGAGTTACTTTATGATAGATAAACCAATAAAATTTAAATTATTAAAATAATTTAATCCTCTATATGTGTTTTGCACACTCCCTCATTTGCTATTGGATGTAAGACATTCATGACATGGAGTTATGACTTTGTTTTACCTTTTCATTTTGGAAAGGATATAAGTCTCATAGTATTCCTTCCCCAAAACTGACATTTGATATCCTTAAGAGATGGTATAAGACATCGTTCAACGAAGTATGACATCCACTCTCTTCTCTGGCTATTGGATATAAGGCCTTCCTGACTCGGAGTTATGGCTTTCCTTTAGCTTTTCCTTTAAGAATGGATATAAATATCTTAGCATTTCTTCCTCAAAACCGACATTTGAGATCCTTAAGAAATGTTATAAGACCTCTTTCAACGGAGTATGGCATCCACTCTCTTCTTCTGGCTATTGGATATAAGGCCTTCCTAACACGGAGTTATGGCTTTCCTTTAGCTTTTTCTTTGGGAAAGGATATAGGTTTCTTAACTTTTATTCCCCCAAACCGACATTCAACATCTTTTGATAAATGGAATAGACCCCCTTAACATTTCTTCCTCCAAACCGACATTCGATATCTTTTGAGAAATGGAATAAAACCTAATTAAATGGAATATGACATCCACTCTCTCTTTTGCTATTGGATGTAAGACTTTCCAGACAAGGAGTTATGGCTACTCTTTAGCTTGTCCTTTGGGATAGGATGTATGTCCCCTAGCATTCCTTCCCAAAAACCAACATTCGACATCTTTTGAAAGATGGAAGAAGACTTCCTTCAATGGAATATGACATCTACTCTCTCCCTTATTATAGAATGTAAAGCCTTCCTGACAATGAATCATGGCTTTCCTATTGTTTATTGGTTCTCTATGACTTCTTTACAAGTCATGAAACTCGTTTCCCCAATAAACTTTAAAAGCTAAATGTTAAACTTCCTGACATGGAGTGATTACATTCTTTTGTAAAACCAACAACATACTGATAATTATGTGGATATGTTCACAGTTTCGGTCTACCAATATGTTTGGCATACGTGTTCAGTATTCCACACATATTGGGGGCCAATTTGTTGACCTCACTTTTGTGAGGATATATTCTAAATCAACATCCATAGTCAAGACATATCCTGAGTCACCCAAATTAACTCAGGATCTCAGGATTCTTCTGTAAGCCCTAACACTATTATGATCATCAATCCATATTGGGGAAGAAGTCTACTAACATTGACTCATTGAGCCCATCGGGGATCCTCAAACCCTAAAAATTTAGGACTAAACCCTAGTGTGCTCTTTTTTACTCATGTCTTAGTGGCACTCTAGACTAGTCAAACCAACAATAACAAAACCTAGTTTGAATGAAGTTTGACCAAATTGACCCCTCTACCCTACCTTGTTCCAATAGTCACCATAGTGACCATTTGGTCAACACTAAACCATATGACCAAACCCATTGATCGTGTGTTCAACTCTGGTCAAGACATCTATGGTCAACTTGACCACCCTGGTCAACCATTTGCTCAACATGGTTAACACTAGGCCATATGATCAAACCCATTGACCTTGATGTCAACTCACCCACCATATGGTCAAGACTTCACCATATGGTTAACCTGACCACCATAGTCAAGTTTGGTCCATCGGTCAACCCTACACCAGCATCGATTAACCCTACACCACCATGGTCAACCCTTGACCACATGATCAACACATTGACCATATGGTCAACCCAACATCACATGGCCAATGCCACACCCAAGTGGGCCAAAATGGACTACCTTATGAAGTTGACCTGATTAATTAGTTAATTAATTAATTAATTAATTAATTAAGTCCTTAAATCACTTCATAAAAAGATTTGATCCAAGAGCTACCCATGGAAACACAAACCCATATATGGCATCCATGCTCTAAGACATTTGTGGCCCATCACTATTTAGTCATCCATGACCAACTTATACCCATCATGACATGGGTAACTCATTTAAAACCTTTAAAGCCATAATTTTTTTTCTTTTACAAG